TTCAAAGCAAGAACTTAACACTTTTGTCTCTTCTGTGAAACTTTTTCTCAGTTTTTTACCTTTACTGTCTAGTATAATCCAATGAGATGTTTATTAACGAAAGAACATTCTCCAAACCTCGCTGTAGCATTTTAACATTTCTTGTTACAAGACGAAGAGATGTTTTAGTAATGAAAGAACAGTCTCTCCAACCTCACTGTGGCATCTTGACATTTCTTGTTACAAGACGAAGATATGTTTTAGTAATGAAAGAACAGTCTCTCCAAACCTCACTGTAGCATTTTGACAGTTCTTGTTACAAGACGAACAGATGTTTTAGTAATAAAAGAACAGTCTCTAAACCTCACTGTAGCATTTTGACAGTTCTTGTTACAAGACGAACAGATGTTTTAGTAATAAAAGAACAGTCTCCAAACCTCACTGTAGCATTTTGACAGTTCTTGTTACAAGACGAACAGATGTTTTAGTAATAAAAGAACAGTCTCCAAACCTCACTGTAGCATCTTTACATTTTTTGTTACAAGGAATTTTTGTATTCATAGTAGTCATGTATATGTTTATGAATATAAATGTGTATTTATCTAGTGGTATGTAGGTATGCTTTAACGTTAATTATGTATGGCCGTCTGTGTTTAGATAAATATATTCACATTATATAGGTACTTCAAACAGAAGAAAAATAACTCCCATGAACATTGACAAATCCAGCATTCTATATCTGTATTGTTGACCGACTGCTAGAATTATAACAGTGATCACAGATCTCTAACGTTCTGGTATCTTTTATTTGATCGCCTACATTCTAGTGTCGTGGTTATCTGATCACCAGTATTCTGGCGTTGATAGAAACTAATGTCTAACGTTCCAATATCTGTTGGTAACCGATCGCCAGCAACATAACTAAAAATAAAAAAAGAATTAATTAAGTCTTAATTAATTTAATACGTTTACTCGTTATTAAAATAGAACAAAACTAAGTATTTCTCTAAAAAATTTTATGGGTTTATTTAAACAAATTTTAATTAATTAATTAGCAAATTTTTTTTTTTTGTCCACTGGTACAGATCAAAACAACCGGTGACTTCGCAGTAAGTTTGAGGGCTTACAGTCCCAACAGTCAGGGTTCGATCCTTGAAGTAATCACGATATAGATAGATTATTATGCAAATTTACGCTTAAAAACAAACTCTCAGAAGGAGCAAGTCGTATTTGTGATATAATAATGAGAAGAAGAAGAATGTTTTAAGTTTCACTTGACACATGTACCGTTTTTTATAAAGGAGGAACTTCAGTCACCAAAAGTATTTAAAGTCTGAATATGTACGTGTATTCCTAGCGGTGGACAGAATGTAGATAGCCCATTATATAGCGTTGTACTAAAAAACAAGTAAATGGTGTAAGCGGTGCTCTTGAAAGCTGCTTGGTGACAGAACTCGGGCGATGCTCTCGCAAACTGCAGTAGTGACAGAACTCGAG